TGCCTGTGTAATGGCTGTGTTTTCAATTTTCTGAGATGGGTGGAAAAAGGAAAAAAAAAGGAATGTTTTGCTTCTTTCAGGCTGGAAGAGTGTAGACAACGTACCAAAACTGGTGACTGAATACATGTCCAAAAAGATCAAGGTTGATGAATTTGTGACTCACACGCTGCCTTTTGACAAAATTAATGAGGCTTTTGAGCTGATGCATTCAGGAAAAAGGTAATGTTCACAATATTGAAAGGTATACAAGACACTTCTTGCTCAGACACTGTCAAAGTACAGGTTCCCTGCACACTGTCATGTTTTAAACCGGGACGCTAAAGGGTTACATATACCACATGCATTGATTCTGATATAAATACACTTTTCTGAGCTTCCAGGCATGTGCCAAAACACAGGCACACAGTAAAAAGCAAGCAACAGTGTACAAGACTAATACACACAGATGTAAAGCTGATCAAGGGGACAGGTCAGTCTCAGGCTTTCACCATTGCTAAAACATTCTTCCTTATAAAAAGGAATGTAAAGAGACTGAAGATTACCTTCAGTAATATTTAGGTTCCTCTGCAATTCCAGAAACCAGCATGGTCTTTGTATTTGATCTCAATCTCTATCTATCTATTGTATATAACTTTAGAGAAAGGACTAGCTTTATTTGCTCTATGTGCTTTAGTTCATATGGGTTCTGTTTTGGATAATTCAGTTGACTGTATTTGTTACAATTGAAAACACTAAATTTTTGCAAATTTTATCCAGCAGTTGATCCCTGTCCCAGTTATAAACTTCAGTATCATTTCAATGCTTTACTCATACATGAGTAAGTCCTAGGAAACTAACAATGAAAGCTGCCTAACATTTTCCAAACAGACAAAAGGAAGAATGCCTGTAAATATTACTGATCCTGATCAATCTTGGCTAGCTACTGAAAGCTGACACCTAGTTTGAAAAAGCATTCATTTGGAGTTAATTTTACTGGAGGAGAGACAAAAAAAACTCTGAAGATAACAAGCATTATCCCGGAGTTTTTGTAAATATTATAGGCATAAGCATGACTTCATTCTTATAAAACACAGAAGATAAAATGTGTCTCAGCAATGAAAGGGAGGGGACAGATGGGGTGAAAATTGATTTTTGGTAATTTTGTTTTCTTTTTTATTTTAAGCATTCGAACTGTCCTAAAATTTTAAAGCCAAATGTGGACCTTCTAATTGGCCAGCGTCATGCCAACTGCCTTTTTATAATGGAATTTTTGATAGAATCAAGCAACTGAAAACTCACTTGGGAGTAGGAAGACCATGTATTTTAGGGTGAGCATTCTGGGTATTAAATAATACAAAATTGTTAACCACTGAATAGCATTACAGAATTAGTCCTGATCATGGAACTTCTGTTTCTGTACTCATTCTTCAATTTCAATAGTGGCTAACTCAATCTACTTAATAAAAGCTTATTTCTAAAACCCAGTGTTGGAATTATTTAGCATTAAGAGTGACTGTGATTACTGTGTCTTACTTGTTTTCCTCTAGTGGTTTTACAGTAAATATATGACAGAAGAAGAGTGTTCTGCAGAGTCTACAGCAAATGATGTGGGATTCACTGCACGAGGCACAGCTAAGCACAGAGCTGAGAAGCAGCATGCATTTGCTGTGACTGTGCTGAGAGAGAGGCCAGAACTCAACAAGTTTCTGAGGCTATTCTAGGACTACACTGGATTGTAGCATCCAGCTCAGTCTTGAAGCCAAATGTAGAGCAGAGAGTTCGGTGTCCAGTGATACCCATGTTCACTGGGGTGGTTCATGTTCTGCCTTATTTTTCATTGGTCTCTTTGGCAGGCTTCTTGTAGAGATCATGGCACAAACTCCTCTAGTCACTTGCTCTAGTAGTGTCCTCCAAGGCTTCAGTAGGACAGTTCTCCCATTTCCTTAACTTTGAAAAAACTTTGCAGCCAGCACTACAAAAACAAACACCGTGGGATTGTTACCTCTAGTCAGAAACCTGATCATGCCATTAAAGCAGAAAATACTACTATTAGAGCGAGTCTGCTCTTGAGGGCTGCAGGGGAACAGGAAAGAGCATCATGTGAGGATGGCTTTAGGATTTTCTGGGATTTTTTTCCTGGAGGGCAAGGAGTTAAGTCTCCATTTTGGAGTTGCAGGTTTTCTTAACTCTAGGTGAAGTGACCTGACTGGTTAACAGTTTTTTTGTACTGAAACCTGGAATTAGTGCCTCACATCCAAAAAACCACAGAGAAATAGCAGAAAACAGACTGCAAAGCAGAGGCAGAAAGCCCAGCCAGTTAAAAAAAAAGTTAGATACGTAGAAACTCAATGTTTTTCAGTCAACCAAGGCTGATTAAATAAGTTTCGTGTTTTAAAGAACCCTGGTCAAAACAAATTCTAACATAGAACACTGAATGCAAATAGTAATCTAATGAGAAAAAAAAATCCCTCTCACCAGTTACCCCAAGCCACTGCTATACAACTGGAACAATTACAACTTTTCCATCTCTCATTAAAAAATATCCCTATGAGCATTCTGAAAATAGTTGAGGTACTGCATTTCTACTTCATTTCAGACAGTAAAGAATAAACGCGTATATTCTAAGAATTAAATTTTGAGCATCAAGAGGAAATAAAAACTGAATTTGTATCAAGAAAGTGAGCCCTTTAGCCCAGCAATGGGCTGATTCTCAGTACCCTGTAGCTCCAGGAAGGCTGGCTGAACATCAGAAAATCCAGTAGAAAACTTGCTGTTAAGCTGTTCCTGTAAGAGTACTCCACTATTACAAGATGGTATTAATACAATAGTAGCTAACCTGGCAAACCACCCCTCAGCTGGATCTAACAGATTAAAAATATGTACACTGGAACAGCTGTTCCTCTGTGCTGCATAGACGAGTAAGACCACACAACCTTGTCTGCATTACATTATTACTTCAGAGAATCTGCATCTCAGAGTGTTTGTGGGAAGCCAGTCTGTAATACCATCAACAAAGAAGTGTAATGATATCAAAGCACTTGGGTTAAAGACTTGCAGGCTTCTTCCCAGCCTGAGTAGTTGATGTCCCAGACACTACTTTGTCCTGCAAAGCTTTTGACTGAATGGAACATGTTTTGAAATAGGGTTTTTTTTCAAGTATTTCAGCAAAGGGACTCAAAAGCTTCTACCCCATTTTTGGCAGTCAAGGTACTGTATTGAACTGCACCATCCTGACAACAGTTAAGAACTTCAGTGGATAAAAATTTCCACCAAATCATTATGCATGAAATGTGCATGTACTCTGCTGGCTGTCATGTAAAACATGCAGGCTCGCCACTCTCCTCCTGCTGTTATTCAACACCATCTACCAAACCTCCTCTCTTTAAATATTCACATCAAGTTGCAGAAACAACATGAAGAATTTCCACAGTGACTTACACAACAGTAAAGGGAAAATACATTAGGAAGTTGATGCAGAAGTAATTGCAGGATTGTTTTTGGTAAAAGTGTATACAATGGCTAAAAATGTCATTAAAAAGTAGATTTAAGTTGGGATCTTTTATTTAAGTGGATAGCAACTTTTGTAAGAATCAAAAATAGTTAATTTCCACAATCCAGTCCGCACAAGTCTAGTATGTCATGTTCAAGTAAATACACAGCTAGACAGGTGAAAAAATAGCTTTTCTCAATATTTTTATTTAGTAAGTTTTGTTCTCAAGGCTGATATGCCCTCTCATGTTGAAAGATCTGGTGTAGATGCTAACTAAGCTTTCCACTCATTTAAAAATACTGCAGTAGTATGAACTCACTATAAGCAGTTGTCATGCTGTGATTTCCATTTATAGGCAGAAATGCATAGCATCAGAGATTACCTGCATTAAAAATGTGCTAGATTTGGTTGCATCAGTGCAACAACAATGAGGTATCCAAGTGGCACAAATGTGGGTTTAAGGGTGGGTTCTAACTGGGTGCACACATCTACTGGGACTTGCACTACTGCAAGCAAACCTGGATGTAATTGAAAATTCTATGTCTGGGTTTTGATCACAAGACAAAAAAAAAAAGTTATTTCTGTTAAAAGCAGCTGCAACTTTTATTTTATAGACCAAAAATGAAGCCCCCCCACCCCCCGCATCATACACACACACATAGAAAAGGCAAGACCATTGTAACCATTCAAGTGAAGGATATGGTGGGCAAACCTCCAGGACAGGCATCTCCTCAACACAGTTCATTCAGCACAGGTAATCCCACTCAAGTACTACAGTCTGTTTTTTGTTAAAAATCTCTACACACACGCATACGCACGCACACGCGCTCTCTGTGCATTGTTTCAGGTCACTCTACTGCATAATTAAAACAAGAATAAAGGTAATGAAAACATTGCCGTGATGCTCTTACAGCAACAGAGGTCTGAGGCACTCAGGGCAGAGAAGACATTTTCTGGCAAATTTAGGAGTAGATGAGTCCAGTTCTGTGAAGCACTAACCCCTTTCCCCCACCTAAATTCTGCAGTGCCAAGGGGAGCCAAGGATATGCAGCACTTCATGTTCTTGGATCTGTGGCAACAAATTCACCAGACGTTTTGTAAGAGGTGTATTTTATGCCCATGATTGTATGATTTAATGCCTGTGCTGGCTTAAGTATTTCTTGTGTTACAGTGTGGTGTATGATGAAGTCTACAATGGGGCCTGAAATTTTTCATTACTGTTCAGAAGAAAAAATAACTTCCCTCAGCAGAGACACCAAAGATGATGGAAAGTAAATGGGCATGGAAAAAGAAAGGGTAGAGAAAAGAGAGGCTTAATCAATCCACACTCCTTAACTGTTTCCAGCTCTCCCTGACCCATTAACAAAATATAAAGGGGTATATGTACCAATGTTGCCCACTCTATACCCTGTCTGAGGAAAAAAAGATCAGTTTTCATAGCTGCCCCCCTAAGACTTTCCAAAAGCCTGAAACTCACTCAACCAAGGGGGAAAAAATGACCCGTTTAAAAATCACCAAAAGAAAATGAATACAGTGTTGGACATGTTTCATTTTCACACACTCAGACTTGTTCTGAGATACTTCACTGTAAGTCTTGCAAATCCAATCTCCCACAACTACTGTGGATGTACTTTTAAAAAATTCCCCACAGCTACCACATGTAGGGATCCCATGAATCATGGGATCTTTTTGGTTCTTGTTTCATTCCTTTTATCTAGGCAAGTCTGATACATCAGTTTCACCAAGCTTTTGGTGTAGGAGGCTACCTGCAAGTACTGCTTCGCCAAAAAGCAGTTTATTCCAGGGAGCTGCATATAAGACAGACTTTGTTAACTTCCCATCCTATCAAATCTCCAGCAAGAAAAACAAGTCCTGCCATTAACACAGTGTACCACCCACAGTGGCAATCACTACAGAAGCCACCAGCAGAGATGGGGGCAGATTTAAAGGTAGCCCGCTCTTGTACGTGGCGTGTCGTTCTCCCTTCTGCCCCCTTCTCAACTGATAAACAAACAAGGCCCAGAATAGTATCTGCAGAAGCAAGAGCAAGTCTTTGGAATAAGAAATGCGTAAAATCTCAGGTGCCACTCACAAAGAAAGAGTGATAGGGCACACTGAAATGGTGAAAAAACCTGGATCCCAAAATATCAAGTCCCAGTGGGAAAGCTTACCCACGCTTTTCTAGCTAATATCATGGTAGCAACAGAAGCAATTGTGGGCCTAATTGGAAGAAAGGTGCTAAAGAGATAATTGAAGAAAAAAGGAAAGTACAGCGTGAGTGTTGTAGGTAGGAGGAAAGCAGGAAATTCTTTAAATTCTCTGCTTTTGCAGACATTAGGTCAGGTTCTTGGAGATATTCCTCTTATCTACAATCACTGAGAACAAAGTAAATGGTGAAATCTTTCTATTCTGTACTCTTAAAAAAATGCATAGTACAGGGGCAAAAAATATTTATGTATTTCTCATTCTGATGCACCTGCTCAGTGTGGACTATCACTGGGTCATGAAGTGGGGGCGAATGCTGTCCAGGCGCCGGGTCAGGATCTCACAGCCCGTGTCTGTGACCAGCAGTGTGTGTTCAAACTGTGCCGAGCGCTTCCCGTCCCTCGTCACCGCAGTCCAACCGTCGGGCCAGGTCTCGTCCTGCCAGCCACCTGAAAACAAAAAGCATCACTTCCTGCCAGTCTTTAATCAACAGGTATCAGTCCCCAAAGAGAAATTTTAAAAAAATGTATCAGCTCTACACGATAGAACCAGCATCCTGTTCCACCACTACGTAAGAGCAAACAAGAGTAACCATTTTACTCTACTGCTAAATTGCTCACCTTCACAGATCATTGGTTCAATTGTAAATACATGACCTGGCTTCATGACTCCAACTGCCTTGTTTTCTGCAATAAGATAAAACATTCAAGTCAGAAAAAAGAATACCATGTTAGTAAATGAACGAATCCTTGTCCTAACAGAATACAACAGAAACACAGTAGAGTCAGAAAAGCCCTTCTGAGATGATCTGTTCACTTCTCCATTTTTATGTATACATAAAGATTTCCCTTTCCTTCTTTCCTTCTCCCCATCCACCAACACTGTAATACTTACTCAAGAAGCTTAAAATTAATTGCTGTCTTTCTCTCCAACAACTGGAACTTCAACTCTAGTTCTATAAAAACACTAAATAAATATAATACAGGAATTTCTGCACATTTCTATAATGGGAAAGCATAATTAAAAAACAACAGATGTAAGAAGCACTTAAGATACTCAGATAAGGCTTGGAATCTCATTTGTTTGCATTGAGCCATTAGCTCCAATAAACTGTGAAAATGTGGCAGTGGTTAAGTAATCCCATGATTCCATTTATGAAAGACACACTGCCCCCTTATTACCCTGGATAATTGGGTCATAGTGGTGTCAGTGATAATGCTGTGTTCCTTAACTAATATAAAATAGCAGAGCATTTTGAGGCATCCAGGACAATAACACAGGAACTTTTTGATGTTAAATGCAACAAAAATGCTTATGTGGAGGCACATGAACTGATGGACAGCCTGACTGCAGGAGTGCAGTTTGACTTGAGAAAGGCTTCAGCCCATTTCCTTTGCCCTGTTTCACCTGGAAGGACAGCACAGTTCAGATGTAACTGAGCCTGAGAGCTGGAGCAAACTCCAGAACTGCACAGGAACCATTAGCTCCCAGCTACTTTGCTGCTGTAGACAATTTACATTAATTTTACATCCCCTCATCTAACCTTAATTGTGTAAATTTATTACACTGCCTAAATCACCTATAGGCTTTAAAAAATCTCAGAAATCAAGCTGCCACAACAGCAACAGAACATTTTTCTTAGAAAATGAGCTTTCTGCTTTTCAAACTCCTTTCATAGTAGGCTAGAAATAAGCAGTAGCATTCTTTTTTCTCCAAGAGGCTTTAAGTCCCTCAGATCTTTCCACTTTGCTTTTGCTATGACTCTGTATTTTAGAAAAAAACACCCAGCATCTTTCTTTCTGGGAACAGACATATTTGCTCAATGAAAAAAAAAGTTCGAAGTTCCAAATAGCCAGGAAAGATAGAAATTTCCTTGGTCTTGGATTGGATTTTAATTGGTATAAAAAGTTCCCCACCTCCAAAGAATCCATATTTTCTTCATTTTACACAACAAAAAGTACATGCCAGGAACTGATACCCTTTACCCTGCAATTAACAGATTTTTCTCTGTTAGAAAAAATAACGTAGGAAATGGACATGGAAATTGCTAGACTATATTCTATAACTGTAACACGTGTTAAGGCTCATAAGGAGATGGGAAGATGGAGGCACCTGTCAGGTCTAAAGAAATAAGTGTCCTATTATCAGGGCAGCTTTACAGTTGAAGTGAGTGTGAACTTTTCATCACTGCTTCATGATGTTTACTCTGCCCTTAGTTGTCTGCTGGCACTTAAGCTTCCATCCTTTGCCTCTGTGGATTGTTCCTTAGTCTTGCTGGAAAAGCTGTTACAGGGCCATGGACATTTCCAGAAACTACCACTATGTTCATTCCTCCTCTGCCACACACTCGGTTGAAGTTTCCAGAAATACCAAATCACAGCACTCAAATGAAGAAAACTAAAAGAAACAGGATCCAGATTCAGTCACAACACCCATCTATCCTATTCAAAGAGCTTTTCATTTGCATCTGTAAATGGCAATAAGGTTTTGCTTAGAACTTCTAAGGAGAGAAACATTTGGCAGCTCCTGTTAGACAAGAATGTCTAAGGGAATTCAGGCAATAACTTTGAGCACTTACCCATTACTGATGACACCTAACACTAACCATTAGTGCAGGCAGCTAATGCGAGCTCAAGTTCATAAAGTATGCTACAGTCCAGAGTTAAAAAAAAAAAATATTTCTCAAGTGTCAAAATGCCATCCTGATGGCTCAAGTAATTGGGTGCATTCACTGCAAATCACTTCTTGTCTCCAGGACAGCACAAAGGGTACGAATACTCACTGGCATAATGGGGCACGTTAGGAGCTGTATGGAAAAGTTTATGGATTCCATGCCCACAGTAGCTCCGAACCACTGAAAATCCATTTGCTTGAGCATGTTTCTGAATTATGTTCCCCAGTTCTCTGTACCGAACACCAGGTTTTACTGCAAAATTAGAGATACAGAAGGAATTTAGAGAGCTTTCTTTCAACACAACTAACCATCAAACACCATCTTTGTAGCACTCATGGCTTGTGTGTCCATCTGTTCCAGTATGCAACTTCCTATGGTCACTTAATCCACTGAGTATATATGTGAGTGTAGTAACTTGAGAGAGGGAGGAAATTGTCTCATATTAAAAAAACAACCCAAGAGACAGAAGTGTATTCTTGTGCCTTTTTCACAAGAATACTGCTTTCTTCCTTTCATAGATGCAAGTGCTCACATTAAAAGTATGTCGAAGTTTGAAATTAAAAATAAAAGACTTTCCAAGTATTTGGTGAGCTCTCACACCCTGAGCTGCAGTGCTTCTTGCAATGAATGTATGAACTATATTGTAATATACACTTATGCCTCTACTGTGTGAAAAACGCACACAAAGGAACTGATATTTAGAAAAACAAATAAAAGAAAATGGGTGTCCCTACTGTTAGACAAGATTCTCAGTGACAATGTTACAGCAAATAAGAATTTTCATATTCAGGTTTAGTTTTTTTGACAATCCCTTTAGGAAGCCTTTCAAGTTGAAGAGTTTGAAACACATGAAAATGGTGTGAGAAATTCCCTTTGAGCACTTAGACAAGGGAGTAATAATACCATAAAAGCAACAATGTTTCATCATTCAGCTAATGAAAATTCCTACCGAAAACAACCTTGAGCCCCTTAAAACAAAATTTCAAGCTTTTCCAAGACTATTCCAAACTCCCTGAATATATGCTATTCCTTCAAGAGCCAGATATGTGGTTGTGTGGAGCCATCTTTGAAGCAGAGTTCACATCAAGCTAAAACTTTATGTGAAGCAACCTTTAGTTCAATTCTCTGCTAATGTAAGAGACTACAACTAAAACCCCTAAGCTGAATTTACAGAAAATAACAAGAAACTCGTATTACTGGAATATACATGCTTCCTCAAAAATTAAAAAGGACATGGTGGGGAACAGATTAATCTGTTGCATTTGTGCTAAATAGCTGTGAAGCCTGACAGCACATGCAACTCATTTCGATGGAGCAAGGAGTCCTGTGCTTCTCTCTCATACAGCTCCCTCAGCTAGAGCCCTGCTGGTCCAACATCAAGACTTCAAGATGATTTAAAGAGGGGGAGGTGACCCCCTTTTAATAGCTGACACACTTGCTGCTGGAATTCCTACTCAGATCCAATGTCTAAAACCCTTTAAAACACATTACAGCATCTAAAAATTGGTAAAAAAGACTTACAGTGAGAATTTCAATCTCACTGTTATGAACACAGGGAAATTTCTGTCACAATTTCTACATCAAGGGCAGGATACAAAGGATATGAGACAACACATGTAACTTTTGCTATAAAAAAGTACAGGACCAAAGACACACACTGTTCTGGTTTAGCTCTGAAAAACAAACTGGTCATTTCAGAACAGCAATCTCACACAAACAGGTCATCTTTATTCTTCACAGCTCAACCTGGCAGCATTCTCTTGATCACACAACGGATTCACAAGACATCATTCTTACGGATTTTTGTCTTTTCAGCTGGACTAGCTATCTCCAAATTATGTTCATTTTAATTTATTTTATTTACATTTACTTTTGACTAAACTCAAGTTTAAAGCCTTACTACATAGCACCCTAAACTTCAATCTTTAGAGGCCATGAAGTGATTAAATTATAATGGGGATTTAAAAAAGCTGCAGTGTATAAAGGATACAGATGGTACAAGTATTTCCATGGACTTGAGAAATTCATCTTTCCAACTGTTAACTAAGCAAGATAATTAAAGTTCTGTAGGTACTGAAGGATATGTATCTGTCTTCTCTGGCACACTCCCACAGGAAATCAAGATCTCGTAACCAGCTTTATGAAAGAACCATCAGGTTTGGCAGGGCTAAAAGATACATGTTTAAGCGTTCACAGCGTTTTACCTTAGCAGAGTCACTGTGCAAAAAATATACAAAATATACAAATTATAAAAGTAGGCTTTTCCAAAGCATCCTTCGCTTGCTACATTCTCTAAGTTACTCAGATCAAGGATGTCATACTCATCAGTGGTCAAAGAAAAGGCTGTTTCCATGTCAATGTCATCCATGGATCAGCTCAGCATCAAATACATTTTCATCATCAGCCCATATTTAAAAAGAAGTTGCAGCCACCACTCACAGAACTGCGCCGTTTGAAGGATCGCTGCTTTACACAACAGCCATCATCAGCTGGTGACAACTTCTGTGTGCTGCAGCAGAAGTCACTCTGAGCAGTGGCAATATGAGCAAGCATGTTTGAGAACCAAAACCTTCATGCTTCAGGCATGTTTTACCTGCATCGATGGCTTGCATTAGGCACTCATAAGTTGTTTGGACAAGCCTCCTGGCACCCTCGTCCACCTCCCCAACATAAAATGTCTCGTTCAGATCTCCGTGGTAGCCATTGCGATAGACGGTGATATCCACTGCAAACAACAGCAGACACGGGAAATCAGCACTCTGATCCTCACTTCCTGCCTCTTGATTTGTGAAAGAGCCAACATGTAAAAATGGGGGATTCTAACTGTGATTACTTCACAAGAATTCCGTAAGAAAACTCTTCCAGCAGAATCAATTCTTTCATTCTTATCCTGTAGATTCTATATAATAATTTTTATGTTAGTGTTTCACTGGTGAACAGTTTGATCTAATGAAACAAAAGAGGGAGGGGGAGGAAGACAATGCCCCAACAATGCAACACAGACTCGGAAAGCTACCATTGGTTTTTTAGGTAAATATAAAAAAGGGAAAGAGAAGCTCTTTGCTCCATGGTGATTTACCTGGTCAAAGTACTTTCTTAGAATTAATTCCTGCACTAATAGGGGGGAATTAAATTATTAAAGGTATGTAATCACAGTTTTACATATCAAGTTGTCTTGCTGTGGCAGAATGGGAACTTTTGTTTCTAAGTCTTTGTCAGTCAGCTGATAGGTCTAATAGCTGCTAGATCACCAAACCCACTGGAAGAGTTATTGCTATGCTATTCATGAAGAAACCCACACCCAAATCCTCTCACAGGTAAACAGTCATGAAGGAAACTGTAGTGAACAGTAATACTTTAGGAATATTGCACATGAGCTGCTGAGAGAGACCAATACAATCTTGATAGGAAGATGTGGGAAAACACACTTTAGTACCAACAACTAGACATGACTTGAGAGTACTTTCTGGATGACATGTTCCTGTGATTCAAAAAACCTGTTTTGGTCTTTAGCATGGCTTCCGGGCTAAAAGTTTTATATAAAGAAAAAGACAGATGCTTCCTTTTAATTGTTCATTGGTACATTCCAAGGTACCTTTTCTATCCCTCCTTGTAACCAGTTTTGGTTCTCCTTTTCAAGAGGCTTTTGAGCCACTACCTTACAGAAAGGAAGCCCAGTTCTTTCTCATTCTAACAAAGCAGAAGGCTCGAAACTTGATCAAATGCAGGAATGTGGACAAAGGTATGACTAAAGCCTCTTACAGAAGGTGTTCTCCAGGGCTGAGGTACAGCCTTGGCATGCAAACAGCAGAGAGGTAAAGGCCCCATGTAGATGAAGCCAACCATGTTGATTAGAAGGCTGGAGCATTTCTTCAATTAGAAAAAGCTGAGAGAATTCAGATTGTTCAGCCTGGAAAAGAAAAAGCTTTGGGGTGACTTAATTGTGGCTTTCCAGCACCTGACAGGAGCCAAGAAGAAAGACAGAGAAGAACTTTTACAAGAGCAAGTAGGGACAGGTAAAGGAGGAATGGATTCAAACTGGGAGAGAGTAGGTTTAGATTAGACACTAAACAACAATTCTTTATGGTGAGAGTGTTGAGGCACTGGTTTCCCGGTGAAACTGTCGATGCCCCATTCCTGGAAATGTTCAAGGTTAGGCTGAATGGGGCTTTGAGCAACCTGGTTTATATTAAAAGTATCCCTGTCCACAGCACAAGGGTGGAACCCAGATGATCTTTAAGGTCCCTTTCAACCCAAACCGTAATTCTATGGGCTGGGCTTCTCACACTGGACTCCAGCAATGCCAGAATAGCTGGCAATAATAAAGAGATGTGCAAAGACATCATCTTTGAAATTAAAATAAGATAAAGGAAATATGGCATACATTGTTACATGTACCCTACAAGCTCAGAGCTTTCAAACAGACTACACCTCACCCAGACAGGGGCAGCAATCATGACACTTGTTCTGAAAAGGCTGCTATCCACAGTACTGAGCTGTAGGCTTAGTAGCTATTATTACAAGCTAATATGTATCAAATATCTGATAATTTAAAAATATTACAATCTGCTTCTAGAGGTAGGTGAAACCTTAGCATACACTATGTATTTATTTACATGTAAGAGAAAAGCAAACTAATGCAATAATCAAAGGTGCAAACGTTTGTACAAAAAATGCATCATTAATTTTTACTGCCAAACCAGAAGAAATGGAAGTCAAAAGAAGAGATGGTCAAATAATTTATAAAACTATCTCTCACCACTCAAGAAGGCCTGAGTACCTTGAGTATCAAGAACAAAACACAGCTGGTATTGTTAGACTGTGAGATGCTCAAAAAAAAGGTAACATGCACCTATACAATGCTTCCAGATTAGGACCCTTTAAAGTCATAATAATTGTCATGAGCATAGCAAAATTTTAAGAATCTAGAGCCATCTAATCAAGAATTCACTCAGAACTAACCCAGTTGAATAATTCAATATACATTTTATTCACTATATATACAGTCTGGAACAACTGGAATCTAGCCCACTAGTGGAATACTCAGGCACTATACTAATGCACAGATCAGGGTAGAAGAATTATGGAGCTCTTAAAATGGACGGAAATTTTGAAATTATTTTATTAAATAAATTCATTAATTGAAGTATGTAAAAAGCAGAGGTAAATGAGAACAACCTAACTGGTAAATGAGAACAAAAGCCTCTCTTAAGAAGCTACTCCAATGATGTTGCCTGCTTCTAAAACCTCACCCTACTGCATGGTTTAAATGCACAGAGGGTAGAAATGTTTAAGGGTAATTTTCACAGCACTTACCATTAACAATATCTCCCTCCTGCAACGGCCTCCTGTCAGGAATTCCATGACAGATCACTTCATTCACTGACGTACAACATGACTTGGGGAAATTATAATAATTCAAAGGGGAAGGATAACAATTCCTTGCAATACAAGCCTAAATAGAGAAGGTACAATTTACACCAAAAAGTTCTGTACAAAGAAAAACACAGAAAAAAACATGTGTGCAACAGCTTTACAGTAAGACTGACAGGCTGAAAAGCAGTGACTCTTAAAAATAAGATTCTTCAAGCATTTCTTGGCAGTGTTTTTGCTATGCCTTGCATTTCTTACCAGGAAGAAATTAAAGCTACTTTAATTTTTTTTCTGCTCATGTTCATGTTTGACTGTGAATGCTGAGATATTCAGGTTTGAAACAATGCATGGCAATATTTATCCAGTTTTAAAAAGTAATTTTCAATTACTGCTTTTAAGCATCCAGTCCAAGATTTTTGCAAGACACACAAGCTAAACAAAATAATATTTAGCACTGCTCTTCCCCCCAGCTTTAAAACCTTAAGCTGCTTCCCTTGCACTGTAATAACCTTTTAGTATTTTTGCAAAACTGACCTGTTTCATATACTTACACATACATACATACATACACATACTGAGGAAAGTACTGAAAAAAAATGTTGTGTTATTTTTTTTTTCTTTTTTTAAATAATACTGTTTTTAAAACTGCAAAATACCAATTAGGGATATCAGTCAGTAACAGCAACATGCCAAAGTTTCCATAAACTGCTGAGATGGGGTAACTCCATGTTAACTACCAGTTGTTCATACCATACTTTATGCCTAAGCAAGAAATTTGGTGTTTAATACAGTTCAACAGAAGTCTCCAGCCTAATAAAAGCAGGCAATCTTGGCTCAACAGCTGCACAGATAAGCTCTCTAACAAACCTACCTATACCAAAATCGTTGCCTTTCCCACAATGGACAGAAGTAGCCTCAAGTACCAGATTACATGACTCATTGAAAAGACAGCAAAGAAAAAAATTATGCAATTCAAATATCTATGTAAAGTTAAGGCAGGAAGATTCTTGAGCATGTCTTTTGAACACTTCACTGGACTATGGCTTTATTTTGTCAGACTGCATCAGACATCTTGTTTCAGTTCTCTCTGAGGCATCTCAGTTCTGATTCCCAATCATAAATAATTTAACTTTCTCCTCTATATGTCTTAACCAACCACAGAGAGTACAAGTCCATGGCCTACATACGGTGTTTTTATATAATGGTATCTGTGGAGAGAAAAGGGTTTAGAAGAAAGAAAATAATATGATGTTGACTGAGAAAGCAAGTGAAGAAACTTAGAAGAAATCTGAGGCCAGAAATATGGAAGCAGCTGATACAGAGAGAGGCCCGGGAGTTCCTAAATCACTTTGAACCCACCATTGCACTGTAGCACATTCTTGCCATCTGCACTACCCACCAGCCACTGGGAAACAGTTTGAAATAAAGAAATGGAATTCATGCAACAAAGAAAACCGCACAATCATCATTTGAAAATAATGAGATAGAAGAAAACACTTATAAACACCAGAAGAATAATAAACTAATCTTACTAAATGGACAGCATGATCAATTTCTTCAGTAGTTACTCCTGGTTTCACCATCATGGCAGCAACATCCAATACTTCTCTAGCAAGCTGCAAATGAAACAATTTAAAATAGATTTAAAATTGACCCGTTGTCTTAATTTAAGTTGATTTAAAGTAGACCAGGACTATTCTCTACATGATTCATAACCCATTTTTGACAGCTATGCTGAGATCACCAGGAAAGTTGTGTGGAGTTGGGCTCTAGAAAGACTTTGATATAGCTCCAGGTCATGTACTCATCCATGTCTGTAAGAGCTGAAAATACCCCAGTTAAGGTTTGGACCACATTTTCCTTGAATGCCATAATCTTAAATCAGACTACCTAAATATATTTCAAAGTCTGACTTTATGCACAAGGAAGTGATTACAATTGAACAGCTCTTTTTCAAAAATTGTTAGGGATGGGGCTTTGTTTTGATTTTTAGTTTTTACTTAGTACCAACTCCAGGAGAGGAAAAAATTCTCATTTATGCACTATAAAACATATTCTTAAGAGTAACAACGTGTCAGTCACAGACTGTCTTACTACTAATAACAAATGCAGGAAACAGATAAAAGTCACCCTTCTGCTTGCAAAATACATTACTGGGAACAGGGGTCAAAAGAAGAGAAAAAGCCAGAAAATATCAAGCTTCCCAAACTATTTTTCAGTGCCCTAAAGTGGTATAATAAGGTGCTGTGACAAAGTTGTAAAATCATTATAGATTTTTGAAGAATGTAAAGGCACCTTGCAAGAAAAATCAAAACCCCCTTACCCTACACACCACGCGCATCCCTTCTATATCCTCAGATGACAGTATTTTTATTTGAGAGGTTCCTTTTAAAGCTTGTTCTGATTCAGACATTCCTGAAAAGGAAAAAGGGAGAAGATTAAAAAAAGAAAGTAAAAACCCCATGTTATATAGGGTGATTATTGCTACACATATCCAATCCAGGGACTTCTTTAGCTTACCAAGAGCAACAGAAGTACAAACTTTCTCACCATAGCCTAAAGTAAAAAACCCACCAAGCCACAGTATTATCATCATTATTCAGATTAGCTGAAATTCATAAGCCCTGCACAATACCATAATGCCCCACATGCTCAGGAAGCCCATTCACTTACTGCATAAAACCAGCATTTAGTCCAGTTAGTCAAAACACAGTCTTAAGTATCAGGTTTACAAGGAAGTTATTTTATTCATAGAAAATGATTTTTCAGCTGCTCTTAGAAAATAATTAGTGAAAATTACATTCTAAAACAGTCATAAAGGGTTACATGAGATTGGGAATATATCTGGTCATACTACTGCAATAATCAGCTGACAAAAACATGAAAATTCTTCCTACCGAAGTCTGTGAAATCTCAGCATTATAGGTGAGCAACCCTTTAAAATCCAGTATTTTATGTTGTTTTAATATTTACACTCTTTTAAAAATAGCTATGGAATACCTTAAAATTAACCTTAATGCTAAGAGACTTTACAGCAGCCTTTTGGGGAAATGCAAAGCTCCAGTAATGGTATAAAAAGGGGAAAATACCAAAACAATCCAATACGCAAGTAATTTTGAATGCATTCCCTCTCTGTCCAAAAATAGCTGGAATTCATACATCAGTTTTGTTTTGGGGGATGCATACTGCAAGGTTTTCTTGGTTTTGTTATACAATAATACATTTTCAACAGATATACTGATGCCACAGAGAATGGTTCAGCAGGATTCATCTGTGGCAGTCAACTGATTGCTGTTTGTTATCAAATTAACAACAGAACTAGGACTTTTATGTTTGAGATAACAAAACCCCAAAACCAAATTAACTAATTCTTAATTTACTGTACACATTTGAAAGACAACCCATTACAAACTTTGAACTTCCAGAAAATACTTGCAACCATGATTTTTTAAAATTCAGTAAGTTACTGTGAGGAAGAAGTAAAGTGAGAACAGATACAAGAGGTTCCCTTCTCCATTAACTCCTTGATGCTTTAAAGGCTTTTTCAATGAACAGGAAAACAGAGAGCAAACATAACACTCATAACTATGTTTTGTTTCATGTTACCTAGTGGGTGATCAGCATAATCTGGTCTCTGAATATAACTTGGCACAGGTCTTGTTGGTGTCTAAATAAATCACAGGCAAAGTTGGTTAGGTTGCAAGAATACTTATTACAGTCACAGAAAAATACAATATGAAATAAGATATATTTCATGTGAAATATGGCTAAGTCCATTTGGAAAAAGTTGCGAAGTATGTAAACACTCCAAAAGTTCCAAGTTTCATTCCCAAACATTCTGTTACTCTCTATTGCTATCATATTATACAACTTTCAACAGACAACTGCACAGCTTTGTAAAAATCAGATTTTTATTGTCAAGTGAATCAAGCTGGTTTTATAATGTATTATGCCTTACTGTAGTGCTTTTTTTCTGCTGCTTTCCAGACTCCGTGTGCACTGGGTCCAAATACATCCCTCTTCTCTTTAGCAAGATTGCTACTTCTGATCATCACCTCAGTCAAAATCTCTAATTTCATTTGCATCAGTCTCACAGCAGACACAAGACAAAAAAGCCAATGTTCAGAGATAACACAACTAAATTACTTAGCCAGTGAAATATCCCAAATACCTTTTTCTCCAACAACACTAACAAACACACATGGGCTCAGGCTCTTCTAATCTGTTCTCTAATGAGCCTGTAACAGATGGAGAAGACTAGAAGAGAATGCCACTGGGGCAGCTTTTCTAGTACAGGCCAATTAGAAAAGACAAATGTACAGAAAATGCCATTATTGCTGTAAAAAAAGCTTCAGCTTATTCCATGTACAAACTTGTACCAATTTAAAAATACAGTTAGGTCTGTATATACATATATATATAACACACACAGTTATATGTCATCATCTTCTAAAAGCACCTTTCACAACCAAAGATCTTACTGACCTCTGTTGTTCTTCACCATGCCAGTGCTGGAGATTACTGTAACCTCAGTTCTTTCAGCTGTTCACCAGTTCACTCACCAGGTTATTTTAAACCACTTACATAATATAATATAAAACCATTTATTTAAATTCTAAATTAGTTACCTGAGCTTTTCAGAAACAGACTGCTCCGTAACTGGCAAGGACAACAAACAGCTAGGAGACATCATCTGAACTAGGAGTAGCTTTTTTGCAGAATAAATGTCACAGTGTACATCCAAAAGGTATGAGCTTAAGCCTGTTACTGATGCTCACAGGCGCTTTCTTAATTATAAATATACCAGGAAATAGAACAAGTTAAACTAAAATGAACTACAATAAGGACAGCTATGCATGTCCTTGCAATTGGGTTCAGATCAAAAAGCTCTCCTCTCTCAGCTGAAATGTGGGAGTTCATCAGGTCAGGGGTGATCCATTAGTTGCTACAGAACATGGCAGTGCTGGAGTAGAGTGGCACCTCTTGCTTACCAATGGATAGTGTGGCCTGAGCTTCCCTGTGTATCGATAACCAGACCAGGGATTTGTGTTAACATCGCCTTCCAGGCTCCAGGAGGAAACTTCACGCTTAGCTTTTTCATCTTCTGAAAAGACAAGAAAAAGGGGGGAAAAAGTTGCAGCAGCAAAATCTGTCCTACTAAGAATGAGAACTGTGGGGTCTAGAAAGTGCCTTAGAAGTGCGCAAGTCTAGATCTGACTGTCTGGCATTTTATATACTGATATATGAAAGTGTAAGTAGCAGTTATTATTTTGTATTGTCCATTCCAAATTCACATTCTTCCTACCCTATTCAATAGCAAACTGGGAAATGTCAGGACTGAATACACAAAGGAAGTGTAGTAATTAAGTTGTTCCTCATTTGTAGCTTTATAACACAGCGCTTGTTTTCATTCCTGGGAAAAAAGCCTGTTTCTAGAGAGGAACTCACCATCCTTTCAATCAAAACCTTTGCACTGCAGATGAATGCTCCTTTCTTGTGATCTCCCTTAGCACCCAGTGACCGAAATGACCTGAGGTGGGAAGGAGGCCATCCAAAGGTGGAAGGGAGGCCATCCAAGTGTCAGGCTCAACACATGGAGGCTGCTACCCCTCCAGAGCTGATAAAGAGAGCGCAAGTCCTGCCACTTCTGCAGTTCAGGACAAGCACTGCTCACACCTTAGAAGATGGTCCCAAACTGCTGAAGCTTCCCAGCTCTCATTGTGAAATTCATGTCTGACAGGGTCCAATGACTGACTTCATCCACAAATAACACATTCTTACGAGGGCAAATTGAAGGTGTTTACATAAAGGCTTGAAACAAGCAGATCCTGAGCAATACCAAAATGAGAAGCATTTACTCAGAAAGAGAAGGCAAGGGTTAAGAGAGAGCATGGTAACATTAATCTTTAACTCATAACTGGATAACTTGTTTGTTTTATCTTTTTATATCTCAGAAGGATGAAGAGGCAGTAAAAGGTCTGCCATTGCAAGCCCTTATGTCAATTCCTCAGAGCCTCTGTGGTTGACATCTGAGCCATCTGCTCAAATGACATTCAGTTCAGATGAAACTGAGAAATAACAATTTAAAAGTCCAAAGCTTTTCACATTCACACAAATTAACAGGTTACAGAATGCCAAGTGTGAACTACTAGAACCCTATACTGGGAAGGCAGAAAGAAGGAAAACATTTTTAATTGTCTCTACTACTCCAACCTATTTACCATTCAACGTTTATCATGGAAAAAGAAGCATTACTGGTTTTTAGGAAAGGAGGTAAATTATTTGAGGATGTGAGTTTCTGCTGTATCACTTTTTAATCCTACTTCCTTTTTCAGCAGAGCTTAATGAAGATAGGCAGGATGGTGGCAGGGAGAAGGCAAGGGGGCAGAACTGAGGTCTGCCCTCTCCTCTTTGGTTCAGACTCATGGACTATTTTCACTACTCAGAAAAGGTAGAATCTACCAGTCTCCTAGTATTTATGTGCCAGAGCTACCAGCTGTCACTAAGGCACACATATACTCTTACTACCTTGAACTGAACTCAGCAAAATCCTAGCTATGATACATCCTCTATCAGTGGCTGTACCATGCACACAAGCATTCTCCCTTTTTTTCCAAAAATGTACCGAACAGCTGCGCTCTGACTCACTTGTGCTCCAGCAAGTGTCTAATCACAAAGACTTTGCAAGAACCTTTCCCACTGCACTGCCTTTGACTGCATTAGACATCAAAATGCTATGAACGAACACCGCTTTACAATAGTGAGTTATTATTCTCCTTGTCCTTTATTTCAGCACCCCTCTTTCTGTGTTCATACACCTGGCAACATAGCTCAAGCAGTAATTCACACAAATACAAAAGTGAATAGAAGCAAACAGTGGTGTGAACCTCTGCCTCTGAAATTCTACACAGCACTTTTGACTGTCAGGAACTGGACAAAATTTCAGATGTGCATCATCCAGTGCTAAGTATCTTGGGAAAAAAACCCAATACCATTCCTAGGAGAGCAGCACAGAGCAGCTGAGGTTGGAAGGGACTTCTGGAGGTCATCTCCAGCTCAAGCAAGGCCACCTAGAGCTCACTGCACAGGACAAAACCAATTGAAAGCAATACGAAAACGCATTTAAAAAGTAATGTACTTACTTGCTTTCTTGTGTAACAACTTGTGAGTGGCCCAGCTTCCCTTAAAGCATTCCTAGAATTGCAAACAAAATGTATAAATACATGTTTTAAGCAGTATTTACATGGACAGATATGCCAACATGACAAAATAAAGAAGCAAATGTATTTTAAAAGAAAACTGGAAGACTGTTTTTATTAACCCTTGCAGCAATAAATGCTACTGTAACTGCTAGTCTTAGCAATAGAAAATATTACATTCAAAAGTTTATGAACCAGAATAAGCAGAAAAAGCACAGCCAAACAGACAACACCCATAGCAGTGAAATACACTGATATAATCCTATATATTAATGACCATTTATCATTTTAATGAGTAACTAAACACCATGGTGGCTGCAGGTTGGCTGAAACAGAGTCTGTGTCTGTAGCTGATCTTACAGCGCTGCAGCGAGCAGCAAGGTCCTCCCTTGACAAAAAGCCATCTCCTCCTGCTAATTGCATCCCTTCTGTCTCCTGCTACAGAACAGGAAAGAGCAAGAGAGGCCAATTAGCACAACCACAGGGGAACTAATAAAGTAGACTAAAGGGCAGAAATGAGGGCTACTGAATGAAAATAGGAAATTGAAAAAACAATATTGAGAAAGTTGAAATGGAAATCAAGAAAAGAGTGACTGTGGAGGAGTTTAGTCTTTTCTTCCCAAACACAAGTAGAGCAGTTCATGCAAGGAACAAAGAATCAGCAAAGGGGCAGATGGAAATGGCTAGCAGCTGAAGAGTAAAGAAGGACTAAGATGAAGAAAAGACATGAAAGAAAATAAAAGAGATGTAAGTAGAAAAGCCACAGAAGGCAGCATTAAAGGTGATCCTTTAAGGTGCTAATTAGCGAATTACTTGGGTTTGTAGCAGAAATTCCAAATCAATGGCTATGTGCACTCAAAACACCCATTAAGAAACTACTAATTCCAATCACTGACAATTACAGCTGAATTTCTGGAGGCAGGAAGCAAACTGTTTTTCTTTTTAAGGAAAAACAATACTAATGCTGAATCATCATTGTAAAACCACCATCCAGAGCCAACAACTGATTCAACCTAAAGTATACAAAAGTCAACCAGTCCAAGACAACACATCTGCAAACTAAGCCCAGCTTGTGACATTCTACTCTTGCTTCAGGGTTGCTCTTGAGCCCTCTGAGCTGTTTGTTTCTGTTGAGCCACCTTCTCCCTCCTCCCTCATTAGTCTTGCAAGCAGTAGTTACCAAAGTGTGCCCACAAACACCCAGTACAGGGGTGCACAGGTACACCTAGGTTCAGAGAGACCCTGCTGTGTGTGTGCTGTTCCCCTCATGACCAGAACCAGTTGCTCATTGTGTTCTGCTACCCCACACACCAGGAGTGACTGCACTGCCAGGGGCTCTGAAACCAACACTTCCGATGACCGGAGAGAACATCCCTTCCAACAGCAGCCCAAGGTTTGGTCACACTTATATAACCCACAGCACAAAAAGACCTTTGCACTGCACTCTTCTCTGCTGGGGAGCAGGGAGAAAAGGAACAGGTTTTAACTGAGGCCTGCTTTAGGGAAAAAAAAAATACATAAAAATGCTATTTCAAGGACACTAGAAGCACCAGTATGGTTTTTTTAATCCCCTTTCAAACACAAGGTCTTTGTTCTGAAGCATAAGAAGGATTACACAACTACGGACTTAGAGCAACTACCAAGTCTGCAAACTTAGAATCCACTTTTTTTAATATAAAGGAGTCTTTGGGGAAGGAAGACATACATCAGCTTTGGTAATTACTGACTGTAGTTCATTCTCTGCTTTCCCATTAAATTTTGGGGGCTGTTCTCCAATGCCCTTGGCTTTGTCCTACACCAACAGCCTTTCCTCTTTGCTGGCCCATAACCAGAAAACACCAGGCAAACACAGCACTAGGGACAGTACCATAAACCTCAGAGGCTCCATTTCGGCTTTTTATTTCCTGCAGCTGTGGACAACCTAAGATGATTCTGCATAAGGCTGCCATATGCCAAAGCTTTCCCAAATATGTTTCCCAGATTCTTCTTGCCATTTATCTCCAGAGGAGCAGTAGCTCTGCCAGAACTCCTGGGGCATAGCTCCAAAGCTGCTGTACCCCGAGACAACCCAGACAAGTGCATCATGTGCACATCCATCAACTGCAACACACAGTAAGTCTGATGCATTTTTGTGAGCAGGGGCTGTTACAAGTGCAATGTACAATCAATGAATTTCTCTGCCTTGGTCTGACACTTCTGGAAGGCACCCAGAGCTGCAGCACACATGCTGCAAATCCACCTACAGCCCATCTATTTTGTGTAGGATCAGTCATACGTTTCCTGCAAGTGCTGGACTTACCCGGTACATACAAATTATTTATATTCAACAACCTACTGCACAAGCACCACACTGCACATGACTGCAGAGCTCTGCCTTGGCAATTCCACAGAAAAATATGGCAGCTGGCATCTCACTGGTTGGAGAATCACAACTCTGGCAAACTGCCAAAGTACCACTGCACATTGCAAACACCCTCACCTTCTATACCACAGACTTCTCAACAAGCTATGGAAGAAACCTCCTCTTTCTCACCATCTGAGCCACTTTTTGGAGTATTTTCTGGAGAAAATGACGCTTTTCACTGAGCCTTCTCCTGAGACATCTACTTCAATCTTGCTATCACCATTCCTGTCTCTTAATAATTCTTTTGTTTCTATGCCCTACCCAGGTCAGGATAGAAACTTTTCGATGACTAAATAAACAAAATCTAGGGAAAATGTATTCAGGATGACTTTTAATATTAAAATTAAGAAAATAAAGATTTTTTTTTTTCCCAGATACAGTGAAAAAAGGAACATGTAACACTGCATGGCTATATTTTAAAACATCTATTTAAATAGCTTCAGGGGGACAGTACACAGGAACAATATGAATAAGTTTCTTGGAAGACTTCCTGGGTTTCATTTCAAGCACTACATTATCCATTAGCATGCCTGATATTAATATCCCCACCCTTCTCACCTAAAGCATTTTTCTTTTTATTGCATGTGACTTTTATACCTCAATCCAGACAGACATAGAAACACGGAAGAGGACTGTACAAGAAGAGAGGTCAAATGTACAACAAAAAAGAAAGCAGAGGGGTAATCCTTGTCTTGTTTAAAGCAATCCTGGGTACAACTATTCAATCACTAAGAAAAATATAAATGTGCCTTCTAGACAAAGGCCGTCAACATACTGAAACCTTTAACAACACTTCTGGCTTCAAGACATTCTTAAGCCAATTCCACTGGTTTTGTGTTTAGGGACAATTTCAACCCCTGTGCTCACCAGAATATATCAAAAGGTAACCAAAGGCAAAATCGGCATTACCATTTGGAAAGATGTTGGATCCCCTTGTGGAAGCCGTGTTGTTTCTGAAAATGATTTTTAACCTTAAGGACTCACCCAATATCAACAGAATCATGCAGCATAGCAGCATTTGTTTTATAGTATAGTGTATTTTCACTATGAACACACTGATCACTACCAAATACCTTGAGATTTTTGTTTTTTTTTAATTAACCATTGAAAGAACAAAACCCTCTAAAACAGTTATTGAAGTAATTAGGGGGAAAAAAACTGTGCTATGCTTATTGTCATCATTACATCAATAACAGAAAGTTTCTTATTCATTCAATTCATGTATGCATACAATCTGATTAAGAGGTGGGAAAGTACAGCCAACTGCAAATTTCAGAGGAGAAAAGGATGCTCAATCAAGATTAGGACATTACTGCACCACAAACTTCCAAACAGCACAGATATAACAAACTGGATTTAAATAAGCTACCCACAGACAGGGATGTCGCATCCCTGGATGTGTTCACAGCCAGTATAGATGGAGCTCTGAACAACCTGGTCTAGTGGAAAATGTCCCTGCCCATGGCAGGGAGTTGGAACTAGATGGTCTTTAAGGTCCCTTCCAAGCCAGGCCATTCTGTATCCAAGCCCAGGAAGCACAGCAGAGAATTCAAGCTGATAGACTGTGTTTCTGAACTGCCTTTGCCTGGGAGCAGTTAATTTCAAGTTAGCTCTGGCACCCCCTCTGTCAGCACTCCAACTTGTGTCCAACTTCCACAGAACTACCCTCTCCATCGTCTACAGTCATCATATAGAGCCACTGTGATGAATTTCAAAAAATACCTACTTTATAGGAAAAAAAAAGGATAGTTGGAATCAAGACTGTGAGGACAGACTGTCTCTTTGCATGTCATTATACCCTGAATTGCAATGGACAAACACCTAGGAAACCGTGCCAAACAGAACACTGTATTTAAAAATATTCTGAGCAATCTTTTTAACAGAATTTACAAATGTCCTTTAGAATGTAAAACTGTCTGGGGCTTAACCTGAGACCATACCATTTTGCATAATGAGAACTCATTTTTAACCAAATACCTTGAAGGCATGCAAAACAGAAGACAAAAAAAGAACCCTGACGTACAGGATTTTGCTTAATAGCAGGCTATCGGTTATATATATATATATTAAATACAGTACAGATTAACTCACATTTTATCCATAAGTACAAGTATGTTGAAGTGTTAATACATTTGATGTTAAATTAAACAGCTGACTCTTTTCAGCATGCTGCAATCCTTCTAAGGCAGTACAAGCCCACAGAGACGGCCTCTGGTCCAAAAAACTCTGTACAAAATTCCCAAACTAGCCTAAGCAGCACACATGAATAGACAGTTTTTCAGAAGAGTCAAATATGTGTTTTCAGATTCAGCTCCAAGAGAAGTACCTACATGCAGAACCTTGGTATCAGCAGGGTTGATCGACTTTCTCCTTCATCTAAGACCTGGTCTTATCCTGAGACTCCTGGATCCCTTGTGATCAAGCCCTTCCTTTGAGGAAGGGACTGCATTTTGCAGCTCTTCAGATTTACAGAAATATACAACTGATTTTTGAGAGTATTGTGAAGGAGCAACAGACCAGAGGAATTCCAACTGGACTATCCTGACAGTACATGGAACACTAGTTCAGCAAGCCTGCCTACAAGACTCTGAAGTTCTACTTTCAGAAAGTCATGAGGGCTCAGCTTTTATACCTCACCAACAACCAGGTGCTTACCCCAGACACAGGTACTCATGGTGATTTATAGGCAATTGAGAATGTCAGCTTCCTGATGAAGGGAATCTGATTTTCTAGAAGATGGTATCAGCTGAGTGCCATTTATGTCTGAGGAAACTCCTATGTGCTGCAGTTGAATCCAAGCAGCTGGTTTCAGCCTATTTCAGGCACAAAAAACAGTGAACCAAGGACAAAACATTGCACTGATGTCCTATGGTCTGATGTGAGAGAGGACAAAAAATTGTCTCATCCAGGTTCATTGCTCCCTGCTCCCCATCCCCAACACACTGACAGTGAAAGGAAACAGCAAAGCAGATGGGACAACAATCTTCTCTTCAGGTCCACAATTTTTCACAAATCATTGTGACCTTGAGTATCCAAAGCTGTCAAGGGCCCAGGGCCGAGTATCGGTGAAAATGTGCCTTCCAGAAAGCAGTAAATTGTATATAAACTCAGTGAGAGAACAAAACAGCATTTCTTTCCAGTCACCGAATTTGACAAGTCATACCCCATCTCAGATACCAGGAGGTATCAAGAGATACGGGAAGGCACCCATCAGTGCAAGAGAGACGCTGCCCCCGACTGTACAGTTCAGGGAAACTGCTAGCCCTTCCAACACAAGTGGCAGAGTCACCACATAACCCCAGTGCTCACTTCTGCCTCCACAACCAGACCACTTCATACACCCAGGGCTGACAACACAGTGGCAATGGCCACTGACTTCAGCGTAAGAGAATGTTTCCAGTCTACAAGAAGACTGTAAATTTCTACAAGTAGGTATTTCTGAATTTGGCTGAAGAAATGGCCCTGCACCAGCATCTAATCCACACCACAGAAAACCTACTCTGTTTTGTTCAAGAAACTTATATAAGTAGTATGAAAGAGGAAGTTTTTCATGAAAGCAACACAAAACCACTAATAAGTGATCCATTCATAATTAGAAGGCTCATATAAAAATGGTAACTAAATGAGATCTCAAGAACAGTCACTACTCTCCCCTTCTTTATCCTTCAGCCACTTGTAGAAGACATAAAAGAAATTCAAATTGTCTACTTAAACACAAACTCTTTATGTATACTACATGCAAGTGGATTGTATCTGTAAGGCAGGTTTCAAAACAACAAATTCATCTTAGGAAGAGAAACTCTACACTTGAGATGTGATGCTGGACATTGTGTGATTTCCACATTCAGAAGACAGACTGAATTACTGTCTCTCACCAAAAGATGATAAACAGACACAACACTGCAGTAAGTCTCTAAAAAAAAATAAACAAGACAGTGAAAAAGGGTAGCTGTTAGTGACAGTACTTGATTTACTAGCCTAAAATATTATTAAGGGTTAACAGCAGACAGAATCCCTCAGCAGAACAGTTCATCTTGTTACACCTTGAAGTGAAAGGGGAAAAAAAAATGCCAGGGTTCAACACACCACCTCAAGAGCTCCTTTGCTGCTAAAAGCCATTTTTACCTTGTCTCCATGACCAGTTCAAAACCTCCCTGCTAGGCCAGACCCCAGCCACATGGGCCTCCTTTCTATCCATGACCCACAAGCACAACTACTATTTAAAAGCTGTACCCAGTTTCCAAGGTGCCCAACAGTGAGAGAGGAAACAGTGTTGGCTCAAAGAAATCTCAGAGAATGTCAAATTACTCCAGCATAAGCATTTTCAGGGCATGTTGTTGAGACATACGTTCTGATGTAGAGAGGGAGTAAAAAATAAGTGACCAGAATAACACTCTTTCTCCAGGAAAGGAGAAAAACAAATGATAAATCCATCAGGGAAATCATTGTCTTGATGCAATCTACTTGGAAACTTCACTTAAATTCTTTATGTGCAGTCATGAGAAATAATTTTTAATCAATCTTCACACTACACTGAGATTCTCAGTCCTATACTTCCTATACCTTTCAGTCCTATATCATTTTTTCTTAGAAAATGATATGTTAGTAACTTATAATCCAAATACATGGCTTCACACGGTTACCTTCCTACAGCAGTTCACAATTTTCTGTTGTTTATTTTAGCACTGGAGAAAATAAACTCCTACAAATTTGGTTTTCGTTCTGATTGGAGTTTTGGCTTCATGAAAAAGTCATTGTAGGCTTCCAAGCAGATTAATCACCTGATGCCCATGGCCATACAGATGCTTTTACCTGTCAAAGAGATGTCAGATAGCTTGTGGCTCCCAATCCAGCCTCAGCCCAAAGGAAGAGCCCACACGCCTGGCTAACACCAGTGCATTCCATAAGGACTGGCTGACTTTATGGTTGGGCCAAGCTGGGCCACAGTGGGCAAGCCTGCTCTTCATCAGCACACTTCTGAAGTGTTTCATGACCCTGCAGAGCTAAACCAGCAAAAAGCCCCAAACAATTAATGCAACTGCTTTTCTTCCATTTAAAAGAAAACTCTGAAGACCTCAGAAGTGGCCCACCAAGGAATCAGGGACAGCCTAAGGGAAAGGGTAGAAGCACGCATCCTTAGACAGAGGGAATAGCACCAAGCCAGCTACAACACAAGCTGTGCTGTGAGGTGGAATAACATCCTAGGTCCTCACTAGCTTATGTAGGAGTTATTTATGCATGTAAGACCAGAATTGAAAGAAAACCACCAAAGAGAGAACAGAAAAGTTTCACCAATGCTAACCAGTCCACTACTGTCAGCTGAAACTTGCTGGCAGTTCGGAGAAAACAATAGTCCTTCACCTGCCATGTGTTTATTTGAAGAGGCAGCCAGGCTGTCAGCAGCACCTCACCTACCCTCCTGACAGTGCTTGCCAGACACCGGGGCAGGACCGCAGCAGCTCCTCCACGGCACACACCAGCTGGTGAGGAGAGCTGGAGCCTCGGGACAGCTCCATGCTGGGCTCCACACAGCAGGGATGAACTACATCATCTACAGGATGAACATGGGGTCTCTTCTCTCAGTGCATAGCATTTCCTGCATGTCTTTAAAACAGGCTGTCACATCAGGCTATCAGTAATGTTCTTCTCTGCAACACCTTGCCCCAAAACATCTGAAGCACCTTCAGTGTGCTTACCCACATTCCTGATTGGGACAGCAAGGCACAACATGCCCCAAGTCGCTCAGAAATGAGATAACTGGGATTCCCAGTTCAGCATTTCACTTTCTAGGCAGGACAGCTTTACAAGCATGTAGCCAGTTATCCAGCAGCCTATTTTAACAAGCCAGGAAGTATTTCCAGTAATTCCCCTTTTACCTAACAACAGCAGCATATTAATATAACTAAACATATTATAATTATATATATATAATTACATATAATATAATATAAAATATATAATAAAATAGTAATAGCAATATTTCAAAATAATTAAACTTAGTATATAGAAAACAAGAATCTCTGCATCCTATACAGAATTAGCTGGGTTAAGAGACTGGAAGAAGGGGAGTGAAGATGTAACTGGAACTCTTCACATTGGCCTCTTTGTTCTCTTAACAAACGGTTTTAACATCACCAACTAATATTTATATATACCAATGATGCATTTATGATGAGTTTTATATTAGACGTGTCAAAACACACAGTAAAACACAGAGCAAATCCTAGAAGTTTATCACAAGCACCATGTGGGAACTAGAGATACACACTTCTCACAACAATTCTGAGTTGCAGTTGCTCTAATTTGGCATCAACTCCCAGCACAGGGCACAGAGACTTCAGGGGAAAGTACCAGAAACTGTGCAGTGGGTGTGTCACAAGCACGTGGGGAATTTTCCCCTAGTCCTATGCAAACCGTAACAATCAGCTTACATCCTAAACCACAAAAAATATCTTCAGAGTTAATAAGCTCATCTATCTGAAGTGACTGAATTATTTTCTTATGTCTATCTACAAAAGTTCGGAGACTTTACTCTGAATTACAATTGAGACTAGGAAAGCCAGTGTTAATCTCTGAACTAAACATGAATGTCCTCACTGATTTTGACAAAATTTCACATACAAAAAGTTCAAAAGATTAGGCTATGTATTTTCATGCACATTTTAAAGTTAATTAAAAAAAAAAGCCAAAACAAAACAAAAAAATCCCACAAACAAAAAGCACACTCAACAGTCATCAGACAGTTCTTTTTATGGGAGGACCACAGTCTGTTACCACTGTGGCCTACAGAACACGTTCGATTCTCACATTTATTCGTGGGAGCTGACTGCTCTATGACATGTGGCCTAACCTGAACCTTCCTGTTTGGCACCCTCAGAGCAGAACATCAAAGGACATACTGGAAAAAAAAAAAGTTAGGAACAAAAAGGAAATAATTTTTTTAAAAATGGAAGCGTATCAAATAATTTTCACAGAAACTCGTAACTTAAAGAAAATCTGTTTTCAGAGCAACAAGTCTCCCGGTGTCTATCCAAGCCGAGCAACTCCAGAGCTGACGCCGGCAGAGAAACGCACCCGCTGGAATTTGATGAGCACGTCCTCACTTTGTCCCACTAAGCCTTTATTTTTAAGGGGAGAACACGGACCACCCACACCTTCAGGCAGAGGAACATCCGTGCACCCTCTCACGAACGCTCCGGCTGCGCTTTGGTGCCGCTGAGGTCCCGCATCGCCCGCGGCCACGAGGAGAAATGGAGCTCCCGCCCCGCCCGGGGCCGCCAGCCCGGCTCCCCCGGCTCCAGCAACCGAGGAACCGAGGGCGAACTTGGTGCGGGGTCCCTG